AAGCTGCAGGAGCCACGTTTGTATTTCTGGGAAAACTTTTTTTTACAACAGATGGTCAAAGAGAAAATGCTGCACCTTGTCTTTGACACTTACATATCACCAGTGACGTGCGGTGAGGTTCATGGCTGGTGAGGCACTGACTCTTTCAGAGTCAGATTTACAAATATTATATTTTGACCTTAATCGAAATGTTCGGTTATTTTCAAAAGCTTTTTTGGTCTGATGCTTCGATTAATTTTAAACAGACCGTTCAACAAAAGGATACCCAAAATCTAAATATTGGATTGTTCTTTCTTAGTAAGATCCCATTTTCATTAAAATGGTGGTCTTACCTTACCTAAGATGAAGTCCATGCTATCCTTCTGGACAACAATCTCCATTACATTTTTGTAAAAGTCCTCCTTATCTTCCTCCAGTTTCAGAAGTCTAGCTTGTTGTTTGCGTCTGCGTAGAATAACAGTAGCAATAAGAACCTGTGGGCTCACGTGCGCCCCCTTCAGTGCGGCAGAGGTTATGGCTGCCTCTCCTGGTGCTTTTTTCATTGCCGTTGTATGATGAGACCAGCGAGCCTAAATATCATATAAACGTGAAATAAGTTATTTAGAGACTATGGATGGCGAGGATAAATGTAATAAAGGGATCTACAAACATTACATTGGTGACATACAGTGAGATGGTGCAGGCATGCGCTTAGGGCCCGCTTTCCAGACAGTTTCTGTGGGGTGACGCATTCTGGGGTGAGGCAGATCTCATCTGTGCCTCACCTTACCCCACAGTAACAGCTCACAAAATAAGTGCCCGCGCTACATTAGTGCCCGCGCTCCAGCCAGTTACTGTGGGCTTATGAGAGGCAGAGCTCGTCCCTGCCTCACTCCTATGTAGTTGTAGCGGAGCTCGGCCAATTTGCTGATTTTGACTATAAAAAGCGATTGGATTGGAATCATACAGAAATCACACTTACAACACAGATCAGTGGAGACATCCATCCATCCATCCATCTTCTCCCGCTTATCCGTGGTCGGGTCGCGGGGGTAGCAGTTCCAGCAGAGAGCCCCAAACTTTCTTTTCCCTGGCGACATCAACCAGCTCTGACTGGGGGATCCCAAGGCGCTCCCAGGCCAGCGAAGAGATATAATCCCTCCACCTGGTCCTAGGTCTACCCCTTGGTCTCTTCCCAGCTGGACGTGCCTGGAACACCTCCCTAGGGAGGCGCCCAGGTGGCATCCTAACTAGGTGCCCGAACCACCTCAACTGGCTCCTTTCGACGCGAAGGAGGAGCGGCTCAACTCCGAGTCCCTCCCTGATGACCGAACTTCTCACCTTATCCCTAAGGGAGACACCAGCCACCCTGCGGAGAAAACCCATCTCGGCCGCTTGTATCCGCGATCTCGTTCTTTCGGTCATGACCCATCCTTCATGACCATAGGTGAGGGTAGGAACGAAAATGGCCCGGAAGACCGAGAGCTTTGCCTTCTGGCTCAGCTCCCTTTTCGTCACAACGGTGCGGTAAAGCGACTGCAGTACCGCTCCCGCTGCTCCGATTCTCCGGCCCATCTCACGCTCCATTGTTCCCTCACTCGAGAACAAGACCCCGAGATACTTGAACTCCTTCACTTGGGGTAAGGACTCATTCCCTACCTGGAGTGGACAGTCCATCGGTTTCCTGCTGAGAACCATGGCCTCAGATTTGGAGGTGCTGATCCTCATCCCAGCCGCTTCACACTCGGTTGCGAACCGATCCAGTGAGTGCTGAAGGTCGCAGACCGATGAAGCCATTAGAACCACATCATCTGCAAAAAGCAGTGGTGCAATCCTTAGTCCACCGAACTGCAGACCCCCTCCCCCATGACTACGCCTCAAAATCCGATCCATGTATATTACAAACAGGATTGGTGACAAAGCGCAGCCCTGGCGGAGGCCAACCCTCACCGGAAATGGGTCCGACTTACTGCCGAGGACCCGGACACAGCTCTCGCTTTGGGAGTACAGAGATTGGATGGCCCTGAGTAGAGACCCCATCACCCCATACTCCCGCAGCACCTCCCACAGTAACTCCCTGGGAACTCGGTCATACGCCTTCTCCAAGTCTACAAAACACATGTAGACCGGATAAGCGTACTCCCAGGCCCCCTCCAGGATCCTTGCGAGAGTAAAAAGCTGATCCGTCGTTCCACGACCAGGACGGAATCCGCATTGTTCCTCCTCAATCTGAGGTTCGACAATCGGCCTGACCCTCCTTTCGAGTACCTTAGAGTAAACTTTCCCGGGGAGGCTGAGTAGTGTGATGCCTCTGTAATTGGCACACACCCTCTGATCCCCCTTTTTAAATAGGGGGACCACCACCCCGGTCTGCCACTCCTTCGGTACTGTTTCCGACTTCCACGCAACGTTGATGAGACGTGTCAACCATGACAGTCCCTCAACACCCAGAGCCTTCAGCATTTCCGGGCGGATCTCATCCACCCCCGGGGCTTTGCCACTGTGGAGTTGTTTGACGACCTCAGTGACCTCCCCCCGGGAGATTGGTGTTGATCCCCCGTCATACTCCAGCTCTGCCTCTAACATAGAGGGCGGAGTTGTCGGGTTCAGGAGTTCCTCAAAGTGTTCCTTCCAACGCCCTAACACTCCATCAGTTGAGGTCAACAACGTCCCATCCTTACTGTACACAGCTTGGATGGTTCCCTGCTTCCCCCTCCTGAGGTGTCGGACAGTTTTCCTGAACAACTTTGGTGCCGCCCGAAAGTCCTTCTCCATGTCTTCTCCGAACTTCTCCCACACCCGCTGCTTTGCCTCGGCCACGGATGAGGCTGCTGCCCTTCGGGCCTGTCGGTACCTTGCAACTGCCTCGGGAGTCCCCCGGGATAACAAATCCCTGAAGGCCTCCTTCTTCAGTCGGACGGCTTCCCTGACCACCGGTGTCCACCAGGAGGTTCGAGGGTTACCGCCCCTTGAGGCACCTAGGACCTTGAGACCACAGCTCCCCGCCGCGGCTTCGGCAATAGAGGCTTTGAACACCGACCACTCTGGTTCAATGTCCCCAACCTCCACAGGAATGCCCGAAAAGCTCCGCCGGAGGTGTGAGTTGAAGGCCTCCTGAACTTGGGCCCCCTCCAGACGTTCCCAGTTCACCCGAACTACACGTTTGGGCTTACCAGGTCTATCCAGAGGCTTCCCCCGCCACTCGACCCAACTCACCACCAGATGGTGATCAGTTGACAACTCCGCCCCTCTCTTTACCCGAGTGTCCAAAACATACGGCCTCAGGTCCGATGATACGATAACGAAATCGATCATGGACCTTCTGCCTAGGGTGCTCTGGTACCACGTACACTTATGAGCATCCTTATGTTCGAACATGGTGTTTGTTATGGCCAATCCATGACTAGCACAGAAGTCCAGTAACAAACCACCACTCCGGTTCAGATCAGGGGGGCCGTTCCTCCCAATCACGCCCCTCCAAGTGTCTCCATCATTGCCCACATGTGCGTTGAAGTCTCCCAGCAAGATTAAAGAGTCCCCTTCAGGAGCCCCATACAGGACTCTTTCCAGGGTCTCCAAGAAGGCCGTATACTCTGAACTGCTGTTGGGTGCATAAGCACACACAACAGTCAGAGTTTTCCCCCCCATAACCCGCAGGCGTAGGGAGGCGACCCTCTCGTCCACTGGGGTAAACTCCAACAAAGAAGCACCTAACCGGGGACTTGTGAGTATCCCCACACCCGCCCGGCGCCTCACACCTTGAGCAACTCCGGAGAAGAATAGAGTCCAACCCCTATCCAGAAGTAAGGTTCCAGAGCCGACGCTGTGCGTAGAGGTGAGCCCAACCAGATCCAACTGGTAACGCTCCACCTCCCGCACAAGCTCCGGCTCCTTCCCCCCCAGAGAGGTGACGTTCCACGTCCCCAAAGCCAGCTTCTGTCGCCCGGGTCTGGTCCGTCGAGACCCTCCGCTTTCACTGCCACCCTTCTGGCAGCGCACCCGACCCCATTGATGTTTCCCGTAGGTGGTGGGCCCGCGGGACGGAGAAGCGGAGGTGTTGCCCACGTTGCCTTTTCGGGCTGGGCCCGGCCGGGCTCCGTGGCAAGCCCGGCCACCAGACGCTCGCCGACGAGTCCTCCTTCTGGGCCTGGCTCCAGAAGGGGACCCCGGGCTTCCTCCGGGCCGGGTATCCTCACTTCTTGTATCGTCTTTCATGAGGTCTTTTGAACCAATCTTAGTCTGGCCCCTTGCCTGAGACCAATTTGCCATGGGAAACCCTACCAGGAACACAAGGTTCCAGACAACACAGCCCCCAGGTTCATCAGGGCACACAAACCTCTCTACCACGGTAAGGTGCTGGTTCTTCAGAGAGGAGTCAGTGGAGACATTTTATTATTATTACTATTTAGTTTTTCTTTAGTTGTTTTTCCGTTACATTGGAGTATGACAGGTGAGGCTCTGCCTCCCCTGACTGCACGTCGCTGCATATCACATAAATACAGTTGTTAGTGAAATGGGCCGAGACATTGCAGCCTTAAAAGGGTGGACAATAACAAATGCTTGGTCCTGTTTTTGAATGTGACACTGCGACTATTGTTCAGTATTGGGTCCTCCATTAGAACTAGCACTGCCAAGTTACATACCAGACTCTCATGGCCACATTGATCAGCTGTACCATTTAGTCAAAGACGCCAGCAGATTAAAACAGTAACACACAACACTGTGTTTTTCTGGTGGCAGTCATACTGTGGTTGAAAAGACGTTCACTGCTCATGACCAACTGGATTTAACCCTCACCCTCAAAAATAAATCATCCTTTGAAGGGAATATGCAGAAGCATTTATTTTATTATCATGGATATGACAGACTGTATAGTATGGGGGATAACTGGTGCTAGTCTCTAATGTATATGTTTAACTTTGTATGGTAAAAAGTCTTATTCACATAATCTTTTGAGTATTGTACTAAACTGTATGTACAATGTTAACTACCTCTGACATGTATTTTTTTGTGTCTTGCAGTCATTGCAGCATTATACATGGGCCAGAGACGCCGCAAAGAGAAAGAGACTCTGATGACATCAAAAGAGGACATCCGCGATAATGTTATTCACTATGACGACGAAGGTGGCGGCGAGGCTGACACTCACGCGTTCGACATGGGCACTCTGCGCAACACACACTCCCAGCGCACCAGCGCTCACAGCAGCATATCCAAGAAGGAGAAGAACGGCTATGGAGACGGCGTCCTGCTGCATCTCAGCAGCCGCGTCGACAACGTACGGTCACCTGACATTCACCGTCAGACAGCCAGTGTCATCGCTGCCAAGAACAACAAGGCGCCGCCAACCCCTCCACGCGGTAAAGTCACTGAAGGCGATGCTATAATGATCAGGGAGTTCATCACACAGCGGTTGGAGGAGAGTGAGCAGGGTTACGCCGCCCCGCCCTATGATTCGTTGGCGACATACGCCTACGAGGGTTGCGGCTCGGTGGCTGGCTCGCTCAGCTCCATAGAGGAGTCCTGGGTTATTGACGATTCGGGGGAATTTAGCTCCCTTGGTGACTGGGGACAGCCGTTTAAAGCCCTGGCTAGCATCATGGGCATGAAACCGTCTACTCTGACTGAGGAGAGCTGAGAGGGAGCTGCATGGCAAAGACAATTTGGGAGGGAATTAGCTTACTTTTTCTAATCATATTTTTTACTGTGACAGGCACTGGCTTTATAGAATATGTTTATGTGAAGTTGTGGACTGGTTAGCTCGAGAATTTAGCTACAGGTGGGTGAAAAGGTAAATGTGATAGCTCCTCAAAGTGCCTGAGGTACTAGTTGTTTACATGTGTTAATTTATGTTAATAAAAAACCTTCTGACGTTGGGATCATGATGTCTTTTCATAAAATGTCCCAACAATGATTGAATCAGAACAAAAGAAGAACAAATGCAATGTTGGTCTTTAGTGATAGTCTCAACTATTTTCTCAACACCTCCATGAGGTCATTTTGTGTGTAATATATTGGTGCAGTGCTGATGTCTTTTTGTAGGCTGACAAGAGAGTGAACAAAAAGCAATGGGATTTGTCCGTTGGATTTCGGCAGGAAATAAGCACTGTGACAAACATTTGCTTATGGTACTTCACATGTTTGTTCAGCAGGATAATCTCCACATATCAACACTACTTTGTGAAGTTTCAATGCAATTGCCAAAAGTAAAATGAGGCTGTTGGCAAACTACATCAAGGTCGCTAGAAGCTTTGGACATTCACCATTGGGATATTTACTGACTCATTTGTATATCATATAACAAAACGCTTGTGTTAATCAGACCTTTTTAAGTCATCTGACCACTAATACATACAAAAAAACGTTGACTTCAAGACGAGGGAAACAGAATTGCTAATATGCTAACTCACTTCCAGACTGATGTCCCCGTCAGGATGAATCATACGAACATTGGTGATCCTTTCCTCAGTTCTGCAAAAGGGTAACATTTGAACGTGAGCGATACTTTGTTTTATGTCCAAAAACTTGCATTACAAGTTAAATCCCATTCAGCATTAGCTGTACTTTGCGTTAGCGCTAGTTAGCAAATGTTACTTTGTTTATACTTAGAGACCATGGTAAACATTAGCATGTTAGCATTGTCACTTTGAGAACAATAAAATGTGGACGTTTGCATTTAGTAAAGTCAATTCTTGTTTCTTCAGGTTCATTTTGACATATTTTCCTTGATCACATTTGATGTTGGGTTTTTTAACACATTGATACGTATCTCTGGCACTCCTTTTCTATGAAGATTGTTTTTCACTTCAGTATTGTTATGCAGTTTCTTTCGAAGTCTAGCCAACATTTTGAAATAGCAACCTCTAGGCAAAACAATAAAACCTAAACCCGGAAGTAAACTTCTTCCGGTTCCTTCGTCACAAACCAATGCAATTTCTCCATAGGATTTTGGAAAATAGCTCGAAATAAGGTCTGTGATTGACACACATTTAAGAGAGGGATCACGTTTTGTTCAGCCGGATAATCTCCACGTCAACCCTACTTTTATAATTTTTGAATCATAAATCTAGTCGCCAGAAGCAAAATGCTAACGTTATGCAACAAACAAACTACAAGCTAGTACAGCAACAGGGTCGCACGACTTCAACGTCACGCCAACTTAAGATCGTTTCAACTGACTTACACTGAAACTGCACTTTGAACACTTTAAATATATTATTAACAGTTTAAACTGTATACCCCGGTTATATAGGCCCTTTTTGTTTTGTTTAATGTATACCACGTTTATCTAGGCCCTTTTTGTTTTTGTTTTATGTATACATGTCACACTGTGGGACTGCGGGAAACGATATTTTGACATTTCTGGATGTATAACACATGTAGAATTTTTGACAATAAAGCTGACTTTGACTTTCGCGCTAAAGTAAACAGATATTGTTCTAAACTGTATTAAAGTAAACCGGTATTATCTTGAACTGTATTGAAGTAAACATGTATTATTTTGGACTGTTTTAAGTAATCCTATATATATATAACCTTCTCACTTACACTCAATGACCCAGATACCCTGCTACACACACATACACCTCCTTCCACCAGCACACACACATATTCTTTTCAAGGTTCTTTCTGGGGCCAATATAATCTCAAGCACCAATATATCTGTGTACAATGTTTGATTGTCTGGGAAGGAATAGTTTGTGTGAAATCTTCCTTGGGAAAGTAAAGGAGTGAAGTCAGGTGGAAGAAAAAGATTGACTCTGTCCTTGTTTACTTCCGAAGCTGTCACGCTCTGTTCAGAAGTAATGCACCAATATATCTGTGTACAATGTTTGGTTGTCTGGGAAAGAATAGAGTTTGTGTGAAATATTCCTTGGGAAAGTAAAGGAGTGAACTCAGGTGCAAGATAAAAAGTGACTCTGTCCTTGTTTACTTCCGAGGCTCTCATGCTCTGTTCAGAAGAAAAATACTTTTTCCCAGAACTCTGATTCGCTGTATTGGGCCCGACCCAAAGTGAATCCAACCAGTAAGAACACCTAGGGGAGTGAGCAACCGACCCAACTCCTCCCCACGGACTCTCTGATTCGCTTAGGAGTAAAATGGGACGGAAGAGCCACACAACTCCGCCCCAAATATGTCTATATATACTGTTGTTTATTCATGCAAAATGCCCCCTGTTTCTGACTGGCTGGTCCCGATATCTGTATCGCACGGCAGTAGAGCGGGGAGCCCGGAGTGCTCTGTTACAGGGCACTCTGTATTTCGTATTGTGTTGTTTACCATTAAAATCAGATTATTGTTATAACTTTTATGCCGGTGTTTTGAACTTCTTCTATTAAATCTGACCAGGTTCATCTAACGGACGGCGCAGAGCGGAGGTGGGCTTTAAGCTATCACTACTGTGTTTGCTCCTACAAACTGGTGACCCCGACGTGATGAGTGCTGGTCTCTAGGAGGACCACCGACAGCCAGCGGACGGAATTCAGTCCAGGGGAGGACACCTGGACACCACTGACAACTATACCAGGGCATCCTACATGATACAAAGGTAAAACAGATACCTGTTGATTACCAAAAATCTGTGATTTGGCTTTGCTACAACATTTTAGAGTTGTCAGCGGCGTTCTCAGTCAGGTCAAAAATACAATACATATTTTAGTTAAGAGAGTTATAATAAGTGTTTGTAGAGTCAGGTAGAGCAGTCCTGTACCTAAGGCACAAAGAGAGTTATAATAAGTGTTTGTAGAATCAGGTAGAGCAGTCCTGTACCTAAGGCACAAAGAGAGTTATAATAAGTGTTTGTAGAGTCAAGTAGAGCAGTCCTGTACCTAAGGCACAAAGAGAGTTATAATAAGTGTTTGTAGAGTCAAGTAGAGCAGTCCTGTACCTAAGGCACAAAGAGAGTTATAATAAGTGTTTGTAGAGTCAGGTAGAGCAGTCCTGTACCTAAGGCACAAAGAGAGTTATAATAAGTGTTTGTAGAGTCAAGTAGAGCAGTCCTGTACCTAAGGCACTAAGAGAGTTATAAGTGTTTGTAAGAGTCGGGTAGTGCATTCCCGTACCTTAACTCACTAAAGAAAGTAAAGTGAACCAGCGAGGTCTCCATGAGGTAGTCTAGTCCTGCACGGCTGACTCGCTGGGGAAATTCTGTAATAAACTGTGATTTTTTACGTCGAATCTGTGTAATAATTGAGAGGAAAGAGCAGAAGTATCATTTAGTGTCGACAGGAGACAAAGTTTGCAGAGCTGAGAGCTTCATCAGACAGAGGAAGCTCATTCGTTGTCAGCTGCTGCCCTCTGGTGGCGAACAGGGTGTGTAACAATATTCTGTGTTGTTTCAAGCTGGAAACTTTGAATTTTGGATTCAGACTGTGTGCACGTCTGAATTAAGGACAGGGCATTCAAATAAATAGAATAAGGACATTAAGAGTAACGACAAGAATTGTCCAGTATATTAATAAATACAAGTGAACACATATCAACCTAGTCAGATAATAGATACGAAGTCAATCATGGAAGGAGTGAAAGATCGAGTGATCTGAAGTTGGAGATAAAATATAACTTTTATGCCGGTGTTTTGAACTTCTTTTATTAAATCTGACCAGGCTCATCTAACCGACGGCGCGGAGCGGAGGTGGGCTTTAAGCCACCACTACTGTGTTTGCTCCTACAGCCCACTTGCATATTTTAACAAAGCTTTTAATTTTAGCCACACTGAATTTAACTAGAAGTCATGGCTGTGTCTATTACCAGTCTGATATCGTTTATCGTTTTACAAAGATGATAAGAAGAGTGTAGATAGAGGAGAGAACCACTACAAGTTAGGACACGTAAAACAGTGCAACCTAGATGAAGGTGTGCTTACCGGTGTTGTCAGGGCTAGCATGAGGGACAAGGTTTATAGTGTCGGTGAGTAGTGATAGCAAGAGTACCGTTAACCTAGAGTTAATTTATTCACATTAGTGACATTAATTCCCATCAACAAATCCATTTTATGTGTCACATGAAATCTTTATTACAAATATTACACACCAGAAAACACAGAAATATCCATGAAATAAACATACAGTAGGCTATAAACAATTAAAGGGATAATTGGGAAGGCATTACAAATGTAAATATATTTTGAATAATAAAACAATCCCACCACCACAGGTATCTACAGGAGAAGAGGGAATTCTCTCCACAAAATGTGAATGCCCACGTGGAGAATGGAAATGCAGTCATGCGGCTGCATTAGCCATCTTTGCCATCCACAATTTCAGCTGCACTGACACCCCCTGTCAGTGGAAGAAGCCAAAGGCAGCTAAACGTACACATCCAGTGGAGGAGCTATTTCCTCCAACCAATAACTAATTTAACCCGCTGACAAGAGAGCCCACCTCCGAAGATCGGGACAGACTCGGGGGCAGGTTCTCAGGAATTTCTTGTCTTCTCTCCCCCGAGCCAGAAGAGGAACACTACAGCTTGGAAACACTTTTCCTGAAATTATCAAATTTGTTGGGCATCAGGGACCTGAGGCAATTGTGGCAAGCATGGCATTGTCTGAGGAGCAACAGAGGGCAATTCAGGTGGCTACCACTGGTCAGTGAACCAACCCAAACTGGCATTTGTTCAGGAAAGGAAGGTTGACTGCCAGCAACTTTGGAGCTGTCCTGAGGTCAAAACGTGTGACTGCTTCCCTTATTGCCAGGGTGCTAGGGCAACAACAGGCCCTTGATGGTGTTTTGCCTGTACAGTGGGGGACTATGAATGAATGTAAGGGCGTCAGGACATTCACCACTGCAACCCAGATGCAGGTCCATGAGTCAGGTTTGTGGCTCTCCCAATCAGGATTGTTGGAGGCATCTCCAGATGGTCTGGAAGTAGTGTCCCTACG